CAACATAGCAGACGTCTGAATTTAATCATCCCTATCACCTCTGCATCCACATGGACTGAAATGGGTGTATGGGTATAGAAGAATCTGCCCCAGGTGGTGATACAGTCAGTGGTTCCCTGTCATTCTTCAGATGGACTTTACAGAAACCACTTTCACCAACGCTGCATTTAGCTGGCTGAGAACTACTGACAAGAAACAGTCACGTTCACATTAGGTTTGTCACGTCTCCAGTTTACCTTTTCAACCAAAACGTAGTATCATTTCATTTTTTCTCTTTATGAAATATTTGCCTGCTTTTAAAGAAAAGATCAGTTTAGTTTAATGATGGTTTGTCTGGTTGTGTTTCAACTCAATTAATAGACAATTTAGTCTGCCAAGTTCCAGTTTCAGCCATAACTGAATTAACAAGCTTTTTAACACCACACCAACAGGGTCTAACAATGTTTAGTTCTCAGGAATATTTATTTCTCTGCCAACTTTATGATAAAAATCAGTAAAATGATTTGCCCTATTTACCATCAAATATTTCTAACAGTTTTTCCCTTTGTGAAAACATATGCAGACAAATTTGAATCCTGTGCTGTTTGAATGCTGTAAAAACTCAAAACTCATAGTTATAAATGCCAGAATTTGCAATGAAAACTGGAAAATATTTCTAACAGTTTTTCCCTTTGTGAAAACATATGCAGACAAATTTGAATCCTGTGCGTTTGAATGCTAGGCTATGTGCACAACAGACTTTAAAAACAATCCAAAATGTACAGAGCCTCAGAAGAGGCAAAGGATAGTTCTGGATTTGAAAAAAAAATAAAGAATCTTGTTTGAAAAACTGTAACAAGCACCACAAAACCTGGATTCTAGTTTCTCATCCTTGGACTTTTTATACATTCAAGTCAGTGACTTGGACGAGTCCAGATCTTTCAGTTCAGGCTGGCATCACAGCCACTTGTACATGAGGACGTTGGTCATTCACAACACACAACAAAATTGTATTATAGACACTTAAGGTACACATGGGCTCTTTATGCCAACTAGCCTTCAGGACTACGTATTCCTGAAGCAATTAAAATTAAATGATCATAGCTTTAAAATGCTGGTTCTACAAATAATCCAGAGCATGCACCTCAGAAGACTGAGGTGTTATATTTTCTTATTATTAAGCTGAGTAAACATTAGTTCAATTTATATTTATGCCCCATGTGAAGCTGGGAAGGTTTCAAGCATATAATTGCAAGATAAAAATTCAAAAACAAATTAATTATCAGGCCCAGCCAGCACGGGTTCATGAAAGGCAGGTCCTGCTTGACCAACCTGATCTCCTTCTATGACCAGGTGACCTGCCCAGTGGATGAGGGAAAGGCTGTGGATGTGGTCTACCTGGACTTCAGCAAGGCCTTTGACACCGTCTCCCACAGC